CAAAAAAAAAAAAAAAAAATAACAAAAGATAAATAAAAGAAAAAAAAAGTGGCCTCAATCTACCCATTCAGTCCTGCCTCTCCCAAGCAGCCAAATCCACGGCACATGCTATATACCTTAACCACGCCGCACATTCTCCCATCCAGTGCCTTCACCACCACTGTTTGCTCTGCCAGGAATTCCCTTATCTGGCTCCACTTTCTAAACAACTGCCCATTCCTCAACACCCAGCGAATGTCCCAACTTCAGAGAAGTCTCCGCCCTCTGATCCCACATTATCACATACGTGGTGGACTATAAGCCACACTGGATGCATTTGGGTTTTGTCTCTGTGGATGACCATTGGGTACCAGTTACGCCTCTTGCCCTGGTGTAATTATTAGTCGTGACCCTTTCACTCCCAAATATGTTCCGGCCAGATGGCAAATTAAACAGTCACCCTTCATCACCTGCACCTTTCTTTACCCAGCTAAAATCCTTTGGGCAGGAACCATGCCTTTGTCAGAGCCCAGCACAGTACTCTGAATGCTGGAATAAAGTCAGTCACTCACACCAGTAATCTCTGAGATGCTGGACACTGAATTATGTGAGGCAAAGCTGCAGAAACATCTGTCCCTGTTCTCCTGCCACATGTGAAACGAGGTGGGGGAAGGTAAGAAAAGATCATTTCAGAGAGGCCGGGCACAGTGGCTCACACCTGTAATCCCAGCACTTTGGGAAGCCAAGGTGGTTGGATCACTTGAGGTCAGGAGTTTGAGACCAGCCTGGCCAACACAGTGACACCCTGTCTGTACTAAAAATACAAAATTAGCCGGATGTGGTAGCATGTGCCTGTAATCCCAGCTACTGGGGAGGCTGAAGCAGAAGAATTGCTTGAATCTGGGTGGCAGAGGCTGTAGTGAGCCAAGATCACACTACTGCACTCCAGCCTGGGTGACAGAGTGAGACCCTGTCTCAAAAGGGAAAAAAAAATTCTTAAGAGAGTTACAAGTGACATGGAAAAAATCATGATAGGAGTGGGGAGAGATGAAGAGGGGCAGAGGCTAATTTTGGACAGGCTTGGCAGAGAAGGCCTCCGGATTTGAAGTCTGAATGAATTTAGGGAGCCATGAGATGAGAGCATCTGCAGGAGGAACATCCTTGCTAGGAAGTTGGGAAAAGCAAGTGCTAAAATCCTGAGGCTTGTCTATGGCCATACCATCCTGAACGCGCCCGATCTCGTCAGATCTCGGAAGGAAAGCAGGGTCGGGCCTGGTTAGTACTTGGATGGTAGACTGCCTGGGAATACCGGGTGCCGTAGGCTATAAAAAATAAAATAAAATCCTGAGGCTAGAACATGCTTAGTGTGTTTAAAGAACAGGAGAGAGGCCAGTGTGGGAGCAGAGAGCCTGAAGCAGGGGTTGATGGGAGATGCTGGCAGGGACCAGCAAAAGCAGGGCTTTGTCGCCTGCAAAAAGGAATTCATAGATGTATATTTTTAACCAGTGTACGGTGTTGGATGGGGAAGTAACGTGATCTAGGTTATTTTTTCCCCAGACAGAAAAGTTTTTATTTTTTATCATGCATATAGGAGACAAAAATGCCACAGATCCCCTTGTGACTGTACAAAGCCACCTCAGGAATATTTCTCTGCGTAAAAGAAGCAATGTCAGTTACCATGATGTCAATTACAACCTGGCACAAAATCATCAGGACGATCACGGCCACAGATTTCTTTCTGGAAGTTAACCTTACAGAACCCGGTCACAACTTCCAGTCTTAAGTCCGACAAAACAAACTCCGCTTCTAAGTACAAGGTTACACTAAAGGCCCCCACAACTTGATAACAATTGTGATTAGTCGCATAAGTTTCCAAGTGGCATAAAAATGTGCATTGACAATCTTGCAAAAGTTCTCAACTAAAAGCAACAAGCAGGGCTTTACAGCATAATGCCCCAATGGGCTGAAACACAGAGAGATGCATAGGGTCTTACTCAATAACAGCATACAACATGAACTTTCTACATACACAAGGTTAGACCAAGAGAGAAAACCTCTAAAGTTGCAGTGTTCTGTAATTCCTCTAGTCTACAAAACGTATTGGTGAACCAAAGTGTTAGCAAGGGCTGGGCACGGCAGCTTGTAATCCCAGCTCTTTAGGAGGCCAAGGTGGGAGGATCCCTTGAGCCCAGGAGTTAAGAGCAGCCTGGGCAACACAGCGAGATCTCCATCTCTACAAAAATGTTTAAAAAACAGCTGGTCATGGTGGCACACACCTATAATCCCAGCTATTTGGGAGGCTGAAATGGGAGAATTGCTTGAGCCCAGGAGTTCGAGGCTATGACTGCATCACTGCACTCCAGCCTGGGCAACAGAATGAGATCCTGTCTTGAAGAAAAAAAAATCAGGCAGGCACAGTGGTTCACGACTGTAATTTTAGAACTGTGGGAGGCCAAGATGAGCAGATCGTTGAACAGAGTTCAAGACCAGCCTGGGCAACACAGTGAGACCCTGTTTCTATTTATTAACCAAAATCAAGGGCTCTCCTCCTTTTGCCATCCCTCAGCCATCCTGCCTCTTCAGCCGGCTCTGGCCCCTGTTGCACTTCCCTGCCAAAAGCACCCTCCACATTATTTTGTGATAAGGCCTCCCCAGATCCTGGCGGACAGAAGATAATGCCTTCCAAGGAAGAGTCCTGGGTATGGTCACCACCACCCCTTCCCCTAAAACGAAATGGAGATAGGTCTGCAAGCAGGGAAGGAGGGGGTGGGCAGCTCAGCTCTTGTACCTAGAGGGGTTTGGACTTGGTGGAGGAAGAAGAAACAGTTGGGGTTAGTCTAAAAGAACACAGAATAAAATGGAATATTAGCTATCCCTGCCCTTGGGACTTCCTGGTCTCTCTGTTCAGCAGCCTTGCACTGTCCCCTTTGGAAGATTCTAGGCCTTGCTAAAGAGGGTAAGGCATGGGGGAGGGAATGCTGGCAGTCTACAGCGCAAGCCCTCCCTCTCTGGAGACCAAGAGAGGCAAACAACACTAAAGTCTTTTTTTGTTTTGAGATGGAGTATTGCTTTTGTTACCCAGGCCAGAGTGCAACGGCGCCATCTCGGCTCATCACAACCTCCACCTCCCGGGTTCAAGCAATTCTCCTGTCTGAGCCTCCTCCTGAGTAGCTGGGATTACAGGCATTCACCACCACATCTGGCTAATTTTGTATTTTTTACTAAAGGACCCCACAAATTGATAACAACTGTGATTAGTCACATAAGTTTCCAAGTGGCATAAAAATGTGCATTGACAATCTTGCAAAAGTTCTCAACTAAAAGCAACAAGCAGGGCTTTATAGCACAACGCCCCAATGGGCTGAAACACAGAGAGATGCATAGGAGAGATGGGGTTTCTCCATGTTGGTCAGGCTGGTCTCAAACTCCCAACCTCAGGTGATCCGCCCACCTCAGCCTCTCAAAGTGCTGGGGTTACTACAGGTGTGAGCCACTGCACCCGGCCCAAAGTCTTTCTTGTTGAGTTTAAGAAAAAATCTTTCTTCAGTTGTTGTTGTTTCAAAGCCATCATTTAAAGAAAAAATGGTGTGAGATCTGGGTATGGGTAGACAGGCCCCATGACCAGGAAGACCCCCTCCCCAGTGCCCACAGCCTGGCAGCCTAACAGGTAGAGGCGGGGGGGCTGCCAGAGTACCTGGATTCCATGGGGTCCAGTAACTGGGGCTGAGGAGGGGTTCCCATCCTTGCCCCTGCCTCATTCACATGCCTAGATAGGCCAGTTTGGCAGAGTTCCTGGGGATCAGGGGCTCTCCTGTGCATTGGCAGGTGGCCCAACTAGGTCCACAGGCAGTTATGGAGGCTCCTGTAGACCTGGGAGCAGGCAACAGGGCTGATGGTGGCCTGGGCAAAATTCACGGGAAAGGTGATGGCCAGGCACTGGTGGAGCACAGAACAGACCCTCACAAGCCGTAGCAGGCTGTGATGTCAACCACCGTGGGGCAGGAGGAGCAGTATGATCACAAAGAATGTGCTGTCCACTGCTTCATGCCCTTGACCTCACCCATGCCCAGCAGCCAGCTGTGTGCTCATCCTGCCAGATGCCCAAGAGTCCACTTGGTGGTAGCCTGGCCTGTGCTCTTGAGGCCATGGAATGTCCAAGTCTGGGTGGCACCCGGCATCAAATGCACCCACTTCATCTTGGGTGATGAGACTCAGCTTGTCACAACCAGGGTGCAGAGCTACTGTAAGCACAACCAGCGCTCATGCGAAGGCCGGCAGGCTGGGGGCTTGAAGCATAGGCCTCAAAGAGGCACTGTCCTCCAAGTAGTGACTTGCCGGTGCCCTTGTCAAAAATGGCTGTGATGGCCACAGTAACTGGTCCATACCATAAAGATGATGGCAGTGCACATCCACAGCACTGGGTAGATGCAGCCGCATGTGACAGCCATGTGATGTTAACACAGAACAGCATGAGGCTATATGGAAACAGCAGAGACTGGCCACAAGGGCCACAATCTGAGATCTGAGTCGACCAAACATGGAGAGCCGGAGTGCACAGAACAGAAAGACAGCAGAGCACCCCCCACTGGCCTGAGCCCAAATCCACCACCCACAGGAGGCCAGAGGGAGCTTTATGTAGGCCCCACATCCCAGGGCAGCACCTAGCCGGACTGGAACCCGTAAGGCCTAGAAGGGGCCTCCGTAGGCCACCTTGCGAGGCCTCCCCTGGCTCTGTAGGGCCTATCCCCCAGCAGGTAGTACTGCAGGGGGTTGGCCCACAGGTCATCTTTAATAATCTGGGCAACGCTGTCGGCCTCTGGGAGGCTGTGCTGTGAAAACCAACTGAAGAAGCTTCGGACAGTGTCCCGGTTCCTGTGTACGAGGGCCGGGGGTTCCTGGCCCCGGTGCCACCGGATGCGAGTCGCAATAGACACCACTCGGCCTGAGGGTCTGCATTCATACTCCTTTACTATCACCTTGTTCTGGAAGTAGGGGTTGCTCCAAAAGCGGAACTTGAATTTGCAACCTGTCCTGGAGTGCCTGAGCTCCCTCACCTCCAAATTCATCAGGTAGCAGAGCATGTCTTCATCTCGAGGGCTGATCATGGCTGACAGCTGCGGGTGGTTCAGAAAGGCAGTGACCCAGAAGCCAGGAATATTCTGGATGATGAAGCTCCTACGGGCGAGGTGCAACCTGTGCATCCGCCCAAACCTGCGCTCAAGCTGGAGGTAGGCCCTGTCGGCCTGGGCGCTCATGGCCTCCGCCTCCCACTGGATGGCCTCCAGAGGGTCCACAATTAGGACACCAAAGTTCAGTGGTCCCGGGCCCTCCTGGGCCTCCGCTCCCACCTCCTGCTTCTCCTCCCCCACCAGCTTCTCCCCCACCTGCTGCTTCTCCACCTTCTCTGCGGCCTCCTCCTTGAAGATGGCGCCCTCCTCCGTGGTCGCGTCCTCGGCCTTCTCGCCGGCTCCCGCCCGAGCCCCCGGGCCTTCTGAACCGCAGGTTTCTGGGGCTTCGTCCAGGACCCGACCGTTTTCCAGGCTCAGGGCAGTCGCCGCGGAGGTCGCTTCCCCGCGCCTGGGGGAAGGGAGGGCAGTCCCGAGGCCCGCTGCGGGGTGGAGGGACCCGCGCCCCATAGCTTCTCGGGCCCAGGCCGCAGGGGCCATGCGCGCGTCCCCCTCCTGCTCAGGGCCGGGCGGCGGGCGCGCCGCGGCTTCCGGGGTCCCTGCCCTCTCGTCCGCCATCGCCACTGAGAGCCTCTGGCCTGGAGGGGCTCGGGGAGCGCGGGCGACTGCGGGCTGGGCAAGAGGGGCGGCTGTCGGCGGGAGGACAGTGGGCGGAAGGCTCCGCCCCGCGCGCCCCCTTCTCGGATGTGATTCGCTGGGGTCCCCCGCAGCCGAGCGAGCGGCCTGAAGGCCGGGAGGAGGGGTACGGGACTGCTCGATGAGGATGTGATTGCGGGCGCCACAGAACTGGCCCCGGATTCGTTGGCACTGGCGATGGCGATGGCGATGGCGATAGAGGTGGAGGTGGGGCGAAGTATGTACCAAGCAAGGGTCAGCTCGGAGCAAACACCAGGGGACAGGCCCAGTCACTGGTCCTGGATAATTAAAACTTTCCTATCACAGCCACCACGCCAGGCGATTGCTCAACGTTCCCCACCTGCAGTGGGCAAGCAGGAGTCGCCCAGCTCCCACACTCCAGTGTTGCTTTGGGGCAGTTGTAGGTCATTCGCAGCCTTGCATTGGTTAAGTTACTCAGGCACACGCGGAAGGCTTAAAGAGGTATCCCCTGCAACGACTGACCAGATTCAAACCAGATACACTGTAATGGTAATCTTCTCACACAAAGGTGATCAACGCATTCATGTAGGGAAAGAAGGTGCTTGAAATATTCATGTGGGGAAAATAAGCAAGGTCGGAGTGGAAGGATCTGGGGCAAGAGAGGGTGTTAAATGCTACAAACAGGGAGCGAGTGGGCATCTGCCTGGTTTCTCCAACAGGAGTTGGTTCCTCCCGGGCTGGGTGGCAGAAGCCAGGCGGACCCTGCTTCACTTTGTCCGAGGCCCAAAGGCTACCCTTCCAAAGGTGGACTCTAGCCTTAAGTGCAGGGACTGTACCAGGGCAGACTTTTCCTCCCCAACCAGCTTCTCCCCCACCTGCTGCTTCTTCACCTCCTCTGCTGCCTCCTCCTTGAAGATGGTGCCCTCCTCCGTGGTGACATCCTCAGTCTTCTTGCGCTGGATGAGCCAGCCCTCGAAGTCCTTGATCCTGCAAATCTGTGTTCCTGTGGACTCTGCTCCCAAACTGTGACCTATGAAGGTCAGTACCCCCTACCTCTGCCCAAGTCCTTGCCACCTCTTCCAGAAAGCTTTCAGCGTTTTTCTGACCAATGGATGCAACAGCTCCCTCATCTGAGCCCTCAGACCTATACTGCGGTATACACTCCTTAGGGAGCAAGGTGGATTTCCTTAGAGTCCTAGCTAGAGTTTTAACCTACTGGGGTGGACACTGAACATTTGTCAAGCAGAAGGCCAGAGATGAAGGGTCAACCCACTGCCTTTGTACACAAAACACCTGTACTTGTTAATGCCCCCACAGGCTCTTGGGCTGGACTCCAAGTGACTTGCACTGCTTGGCCATGGACACTGGCTCCAGACCACAGAAGTCAGTTCAGTCTGAGCCCCTGATGGGAGGATCTCAGCACAAGGGTTGGCGCCCAGGATAGTGGTGATGACCTTCATTAGTAAGGTCAAGGTCAGGTGAAGCCATATAAGCCTCTCAGCAGTCTGCGTGAACCCACTGGTTGGGCACAAGTGTAGGTTAGGTCAGGTCCTAGCTGTCACCAGCTGTCCACCTTGGCAATGATGAGCATGAACATTTCTGCTTTCTTGGACAACCAGCATCTATTCCTCATCCTAACAATGCCCCAAATTTCCTTTGAGAAACCACTCCTCCTGTCTCAGCCTTGTTGTCACTGGCATATGGTGACTGGTTTGGGATGGTACAGAATCCCATCAAGGCCAATGAAACAGGATGCTTACTGGGGCTTCTGTGGTGAGTCCTCTCCTGAGAGCCTGGAGGGTTGGTCAGCAGTGTGTGAGAATGGCAGGTCTGGAATCCAGGCAGCATTCTGCTCACTCCCACACAAAGGGGGAAATCTACTTTGTAGGGCCTGTGGATGAAGTCACAACTGCATCACAGAACAGGGAGAAATAGGAATGCTGAGGCCAACCATGTGGAGCCACTAGATCAAACCTAACCTAGAGACTGCTCTACAGCTGGCATTTTTCAGTTACACACAATTTCACTGTGAAAAGCCAATGATTTTGGCTGTCTGATCCTTGCATCCAAGATAGAATTATGCCACTTACCTCAAATACATACAAATCAGGTATTTAACATCAAAGTACAAAGCTTGCAGGTGCTGATGGGAGGGGTTTTTACTGTCTGCCCTACACTCACCACCATCCTGGATGCTAAAGATGTCCGGAGATTCCAGTTCTTCCCAATTCCAGGCTCTCTCCAACCCTTTCCCAATCAGACAGGTTCACAACTCCCAAACACATCATTCAGAAGTTTTTAATAAACAACTTCATTATAAAAACCTTTTTTTTTTTGAAAATGTAATTCTGTAAAACATTGAAAAATCTACTTTAACAAAGATATGCCCTGTGCATTTTCTAATGGCACTTATACTTTACAATTAAAAACCTTGTTTTATATAAAGCCAAAAATACTCCAAGAGGTTATTCACTGTGTTTACAAAGTGCTAGAAGATTTTTGTCTTGTATTTTTCTCTCTTTAAATAATCTGGAGTTACAAAAGAGTGGCTCCAAAGCCTTGACCACTGGTAGGGAGGGAGAAGCATAAGAAGTGGTGTTTTAGGAGTTCTAGTGCCAAATATGCAGAGGTGGAGAGGTGTGAGTGGGAAGAATCAGCTAAGTAAGTTAGCTGACACACAAAGAAATTGAACTGGAATTTTTCCAAACCCCTCCATGGAGGCACTAGATTATTATAGAGAACACCCTTTTCCCTCGCCATAGACCCTACTCTCCAGAGGCAAAGGTCACGGCCAATTCCTTCCACAGCAGGTTCAGAGCTCCAGGAGAGGCCAGGGTGGGGTCCCAGAGGAATCTGGATTTTTCTGGCCAACACCTGCCTAAGGCAAAGTTTCTTATTACATAAATATCCTTGTTAAAAAGCAAAATATTGATCCTGTACAATATAACCTGTTAAAAAAAATCGTGCTTACAAATAGCTCCTAGATAAGAGGGGAGGTGGAAAGAGGATGGAGAAAACAGCTACCAAAAAGGGAGGGGGGAATTTAAAGGACTACTCGGGAAAGTTTTAGGGCAGTGGGAGAATTCCAACTTAGGACAATATCTATGAGCAAAAAAGTAATCACACCTGCTTCCCGGATTTCAATTAAGAAAATGCCATTGTAAAAGGTTGGGTGGGGGGGAACCTCACTGGTGCTCCTTTCCCTGCCTCCCACCTCTTTAAGATGATGCAGGGATCCTTTGAGCTGACATCTGGGCATGCCATTCCCTTACTCCCAGGACTGGACTCAGCCCTGACCAGCTACTGTGTAGGGTGGGAGGGGGACAGCTCATTGCCGACAGAGGCTGGAGGTGGCAGAGAAAGGGGACATCACCCCTTTTTTTCCTGGTCCCTCACTGGTCTTTGCCACATGCCATGGCTCCTGTCCTGGGCAGACACCCCTCAGGTTCTCATGGCCTCAGTAAGCATACTGAAGTGAGTTTGGGTACTGAGTGTAGGATAAAGCTATTCTTATCCTTTGAACCAGGCCACTAAGGCTTTTTTTTTTTTTTTTTTTTTTTTTTTCCCTCTTCTCCCCCCGCCCCACCCTGATTTTAGGAAGAGAGGTTTAAGAAATGGCTGGCTAGCTATGGTCCAAAAAAAAAAGGTGAAGGCAGATATTATTCCTCTGTACCAGCAAAGTTCACAGTGATGGGGAAAATTCCTTGTGGGTGGTGAGGACACTGAGGGAGGAGGAAAGGAAAGACAGGATAGACGGGAAGACACCAAAGTGGGGAAAGCAAGGAGAAAAGACAAGAGGTGGGGGGTTAAACAGGTGCTTTGCCAGTCCTATGACTTTCCCAGCATCACTTAAGGGGAGAGAGAATTCGAGGGAGGCAGAGAGGACAGGACTCCTCTAACAGCCCAGGACTTTGTATTCTGCAGCAGAGGCCCAATGGCCTCTGTAAACTGAGGGTGTAGGGAAGGTGGCAGTTAAGGGGAGAAGGGTTGCTGGGTCTAGTGCTGAAGACCGGATACAACAAGGAGAATGGCAAGAGCGAGTCCCAACTGGATTCTCACATCCTATTGCCTATAATACGAGTCCCAATAACATGCACAGCATGCAGGAGGTGGCTGCGTACCAAGGTAGACGCTTTTTAAAATAAACCTTAATTAGTCCCTGGGACTCACTGAAACTAATTTTTAGAAGCAAATCATCTAGTCTGATTCTAACCTTACCAGACATTTTAATATCTGGTTTTTTTATTTAAAGGTATCCCAAGCTACCCTGCCTATATCGAAACACACTTACTCCAAATTGCTTCCAATCAAGGGCTAGGGAGCTAAATTTTAAGGCTTTCACCTCAAACAAGGAGTACTGGCCTGGGCTGAAGCAGAAGCCTGAGTCCTAGACCTGCTCAGTTCCTGATGACAAACCAAGTGAGCCTAGACAGAAGGCGGGTGAGGGAGGATTGGGAGGAGGCTGAGGCAGTTCCTTGGTAGTTTGTCCTGAAACCCTAGTGGAGAAGTCAGCATCAGGCACCTCCTGAGAGAAGTGCCCAGAAACTGCTGACTGCATCTGTCAAGAGTTAACAGTAAAGAGGTAGAAGTGTGTTTCTGAATCAGAGTGGAGATGTCTCAAGGGTCCCACAGTGGAGGTCCCTGAGCTGCCTTCCTTCCATGAGTGGGAAGAGTGAAGCCCATGAAGAATGGAGATGAAGCAAGGATGGGGTTCCTGGGCTCTGGGCAAGGGCTGTGCTCTCTACAGCAGGAAGCCCCACAAGTCAGAAGAGAAGAACTAATCATTTGTTGCAAGAAACCTTGCTGGATACTAGGGGCAAAACTGGAGATGGGGACGGTAGCACAAGAAGAAAGTGGAAGTTTTTGGACAGAAAGCAAAGAAGCCTATGCACAGTGGCTGAGTCTACTGCAAAGTGGAAGGGACAGACGGGACATTGTGGATAAGGAAAATTTTGGTTTAGGACATAACAATGTACCCATAGATTAGGACTTAACTATGTGCCCATTCCTAACTTTCTGCAAACTCTTCTTCCAACAATTCCACAACTTCCTGGAAAAGGGACAGGTGGGAGGAAGACAAATGAGGGGCTCAGACCTCCTCCTTTGCTATTCACACCAACCCAGAGTCTCTGCTTCCAAGATTGATGATAACAGCTCATGATGTTCAAGGTGGGGACTACGGGTTGGGGAGGTGAC